GAGCTGAAAAATACAACATGAGAACTTCACGAAGCCTACACAAGTTTCAGTAGCTGAATCAATCAAGCAGAAGAAAGGATATCAGAGATTGAAGTTCAACTCAATGAAATAAAACTAGAAGGCAAGATTAGAGAAAAAATAGGGAAAAGAAATGAACAAAGCCTCCAAGAAATATGGGATTATGTGAAAAGGCCTAATCTACATTTGATAGGTGTACCTGAATGTGATGGTGAGAATGAATCCAAGCTGGAAAACAGTCTTCAGGATATTAACCAGGAAAACTTTCCCAACCTAGTAAGGCAGGCCAATATTCAAGTCCAGGAAATACAGAGACCACAAAGATGTTCCTCAAGAAGAGCAACCCCAAGGCACATAATTGTCAGATTCACCAGGGTTGAAATGGAGGAAAAAATGCCAAGGGCAGCCAGAGAGAAAGGTCAGGTTACCCACAAAGGGAAGCCCATCAGACTCACAGCAGATCTCTCAGCAGAAACCCTACAAGCCAGAAGAGAGTGGGGACCAATATTCAACATCCTTAAAGAAAAGAACTTTCAACCTAGAATTTCATATCCAGCCAAACTTCATAAGTAAAGGGGAAAGAAAATCCTTTATGAACAAGCAATTGCTGAGAGATTTTGTCGCCACCAGGCCTGCCTTACAAGACCTACTGAAAGAAGCACTAAACATCAAAAGGAACAACCAGTACCAGCCACTCCAAAAATGTACCAAATGGTAAAAAGCATTGACACAATGAAGAAACTGCATCAACTAATGGGCAAAACAACCAGCTAGCATCAAAATGGCACAATAAAATTCACACATAACAATATTAACCTTAAATGTAAACGGGCTAAATGCCCCAATCAAAAGACACAGACTGGCAAATTGGATAAAAAGTCAAAAATCATCTGTGTGCTGTATCCAGGAAACCCATCTCACATGCAAGGATCAATTCTGCTGTTGAGAGCCTTTAATGAATTTTTATTCATTTCTTCCAGGTTTACTGGATTATGTGCATAGAGTTGTTTGTAGTAATCTCTGATGGTAGTTTATATTGCTGTGGAATCTGTGTTGATATCCCCTTTATTGTTTTTTATTGCATCTATTTGATTCTTCTCTTTTCTTTTTTATTATTCTGGCTAACAGTCTATTTTGTTGATCTTTTCAAAAAACCAGCTCCTAGATTTATTGATTTTTTGAAGGGTTTTTTGTGCCTCTGTCTCCTTCAGTTCTGCTCTGATCTTAGTTACTTTGTGTCTTCTGCTAGCTTTTGTATTTTTTTTAATCTTCCTCCTCTAGTTTTTTCAATTTTGATGATAGGGTGTCAATTTTAGATCTTTTCTTGCTTCTCATGTGGGCATTTATTACTATAAATTTTCCTCTAGGCTCTGCTTTAAATGTGTCCCAGAGATTCTAGTACATTATGTCTTCGTTCTCATTGTTTTTGAAGAACATCTTTATTTCTGCCTTCATTTCATTGTTTATCTAGTCAACATTCAAGAGCCAGTTGTTCAGTTTCCATGAAGTTGTATGATTCTGAGTTAGTTTCTTAATCCTGAGTTCTAATTTGATTGCACTGTGGTCTGAACAGTTTGTTATGATTTTTGTTCTTTTGCTGAGGAGTGATTTACTTCCAATTATATGGTCAGTTTTAGAATAGGTGTGATGTGGTGCTGAGAAGAATGTATATTGTGTGGATTTGGAGTGGAGAGTTCTATATATGTCTATTAGATTTGCTTGGTCCAGATCTGAGTTCAAGTCCTGGATATCTTTGTTAATTTTCTGTCTCATTGATCTGTCTAATATTGACAGTGGAGTGTTAAAGTCTCCCACTATTATTGTTGTGTGGAAGTCTAAGTCTCTTTGTAGGTCGTTAAGAACTTGCTTTATGTAACTGGGTGTTCCTATATTGGGTGTATATATATTTAGGATCATTAGCTCTTCTTGTTTCATTGATCCTTTTACCGTTATGTAATTCCCTTCTTTATCTCTTTTGATCTTTGTTTGTTTAAAGTCTATTTTATCAGAGACTAGAATTGCAACTCCTGGGTTTTTGTTTTTGTTTTTGTTTTTGGTTTTGGTTTTTTTTTTTTTTTTCTCTCCATTTGCTTGGTAAATCTTCCTCCATCCCTTTATTTTGAGCCCATAATGGCAAACCAATTGCAACAGCACATCAAAAAGCTTATCCATCATGATCAAGTAGGCTTCATCCAAGGATGCAAGGCTGGTTCAACATATGCAAGTCTATAAACGTAATCCACCATATAAACAGAACCAAAGGCAAAAACCACGATTATCTCAACAGATGCAGAGAAGGCCTTCAACAAAATTCAACAGCCCTTCATGCTAAAAACTCTCAATAATCTAGGTATCCACAGTTTTCCCAACACCATTTATTAAATAGGATATCCTTTCCCCATTGCTTGTTTCTGTCACGTTTGTCAAAGATCAGATGTGTGTCATTACTTCTGAGACCTCTGTGTGTTCCATTGGTCTCTATCTCTGCTTTGGTACCAGTACCGTTCTGTTTTGATTACTGTAGCCTTGTAGTATAGTTTGAAGTCAGGTAGCATGATGTCTCCAGCTTTGTTTTTTTGTTTTGTTTTGTTTCATTTTGTTTTGTTTTGTTTGCTTAGGGTTGCCTTGGCTGTGTGGGCTGTTTTTTGGTTCCATATGAAGTTTAAGGTGGTTTTTTTGAATTCTGTGAAGAAAGTCAATGGTAGCTTGATGGGGATAGCATTGAACCTATAAATTACTTTGGGCAATACAGCCATTTTCACTATATTGATTCTTCCTAACCATGAGTATGGAATGTTTTTCCAACTGTATGTGTCCTCTCTCATTTCCTTGAGCAGTGGTCTGTAATTCTCCTTGAAGAGGTTCTTCACATCCCTTGCTAGTTGTATTCCTAGGTATTTTATTCTCTTTGTAGCAATTGTGAATGGGAGTTCACTCATGATTTGGTTCTCTGTCTGTTATTGGTGTATAGGAGTGCTTGTGATTTTTGCACATTGATTTTGTATCCTGAGAGTTTGCTGAAGTTGCTTTTCAGCTTAAGGAGATTTTGGGCTGAGACAATGGGGTCTTCTAAATATACAATCATGTCATCTACAAATAGAGACAATTTGACTTCCTCTTTTCCTAATTGAATACCCTTTATTTCTTTTTCTTGCCTGATTGCCCTAGCCAGAACTTCCAATGCCTTGCTGAATAGGAGTGGTGGGAGAAGGCATCCTTGTCTTATGCCAGTTTTCAAAGGGAATGCTTCCAGTTTTTGCCCATTCAGTATGATATTGGCTATGTGTTTGTCATAAATAGCTCTAATTATTTTGAGATATGTTCCATCGATACCTAATTTCTTGAGAGTTTTTAGCATGAAGGGCTTTTGAATTTTGTCAAAGTCCCTCTCTGCATCTATTGAAATAATCATGTGGTTTTTGTCATTGGTTCTGTTTATGTGATGGATTACATTTATAGTTGGGTATGTTGAACAAGCCTTGCATCCTAGGGATGAAGCCGACTTGATCGTGATGGATAAGTTTTTGATGTGCTGTTGGATTCAGTTTGCCAGTATTTTATTAAGGATTTTCACATCAATGTTCATCAGGGATATTGGCTTGAAATTTCCTTTTTTAGTTGTGTGTCTGCCAGGTTTTGGTATCAGGATGATGTTGGTCTCATAAAATGAGTTTGGGAAGATTCTCTTTCTTCGTATTGGTTGTAATATTTTCAGAAGAAATGGTACCAGCTCCTCTTTGTACTTCTGGTAGAATTTGGCTGTGAACCCATCTGGTCCTGGACTTTTTTGGTTGGTAGGCTATTAATTACTGCCTCAATTTCAGACCTTGTTATTGATCTATTCAGAGATTCAACTTCTTCCTGGTTTAGTCTTGGGAGGGTGTAAGTGTCCAGGAATTTGTCCATTTCTTCTATATTTACTGGTTTATTTGCATAGAGGTATTTGTAGCAATCTCTGATGGTAGTTTGTATTTCTGTGGGATTGGCGATGATATCCCCTTTATCATTTTTTTTTGTAAGACAGATCAATGAGCCAGAAAATTAACAAGGATATCCAAGACTTGAACTCAGATCTGGACCAAGCAGACCTAATAGACATCTGCAGAACTCTCTATCCCAGATCCACAGAATATACATTCTTCTCAGCACCACATCACACTTACTCTAAAATTGACCACTTAATTGGAAGTAAATCACTCTTTAGCAAATTGCAAAAGAATGGAAGTCATAACAAACAGTCTCTCAGACCACAGTGCAATCAATTTAGAACCCAATATTAAGAAACTCACTTAAAACCACACAACTACATGTAAATTGAAAAACCTGCTCCTGAATGACTACTGAGTAAATAATGAAATTAAGGCAGAAATAAAGATATTCTTTGAAACCAATGAGAATGAAGACACAATGTACCAGAATCTCTGGGACACTTTTAAAGCAGTGTCTAGAGGGAAATTTATAGCAGTAAATGTCCACATGAGAAGCTAGGAAAGATCTAAAATTGGCACCCTAACACCCTAACATCGCAATTAAAAGAACTAGATGAGCAAAATCAAACAAATTCAAAAGCTAGTAAAAACAAGAAATAACTAAGATCAGAGTAGAACTGAAGGAGATAGAGACACAAAAAAATCCTTCAAAAAATCAATAAATTCAGAAGCTGTGTTTAAAAAAAAAAAAAAAAAAAATCAGCAAAATAGATAGATCACTAGCCAGATTAATAAAAAAGAAAAGAGATAAAAATACATTGAAAAATAAATAAGAATGCCTACAAAATATAGACAATAACCTCAAAAGAGCAAATTTAAGAGTAATTAGCATGAAAGAGGGAATTGAGGAAGAGCAATGAGTAGAGAGCTTATTGAAAGAAATAATTTTAAAAATTTTCCAAACCTAGAAAAAGATATAAATATCCAAGTATATAGTGGTCAGAGATTACCAAATTCATTTAATCCAAATAAGACCATCCCAAGGCATATAACAATTAAACTCTCAAAGGTCAGGGACAAACAGAAGATTCTAAAACCAGCCAGAGAAAAGAAGCAAATAACATAAAGGAGAGGACCTCAGTTTTATCTGTCAACAGGCTTTTCAGGAGAAACCATACAGGTCAGAAAGGAGTGGGATGATATATTTAATGCACTGAAGGAAACAAAAAACCTGTCAACTGAAAATATTGTGCCCAGCAAAGCTTTCCTTTATACGTGAAAAAGAAACAAAGTATTTCTCAGATAAATGAAAACTCAGGGAATTCATTACCACTAGACTAATTTTACAAGAATTCTAAAGGGAGTTCTTCAAACTGAAAGAAAAAGACACTAATGTGCAAGAAGAAAATATTTGAAGGTATAAAATTCACTGGGAAAAGTAAATACAGAGACAAATTCAGAATAATCTAATACTGTAATTGTAGTGTATATTCTACTCATATCTCTAGTATGAAGACTAAAATATAAATGATCAAAAATAGCTATAACTAGAGCAACTTGTTAAGAGATAGGCAATATAAAAAGATGTAAATGGAAACAACAAAAAGTCAGAATGTGGGAAGATAGAGTTAACATGCAGAGTTTTTTAGTTTTTCCTTTTTTTGTTTCTTAACTTTGTAATCAAAGCTAAGTTATCATCTGTTTAAAGTAACTTGTCTTATCTATAAGATGTTTTTTTAAGCCCGATGGTAACCACAAAGCATAAACTTATAATAAATACACTAAAAATAAAAAGCAATGAATTAAAACATACTACCAGAAAAAAAATCACTTAACCACAAAGACAGGAGTTATTATACAAAACAACCAAAAAAAGTAAGTAACAAAATGGCAATAGCAATTCCTTACCTATCAATAATAACAAAGAATGCAAATAGACTAAATTCTTCAATTAAAAGACATAGAGCAGCTTAATGAATAAAAAAATAAGATCCAACTATATGCTGCCTTCAGAAAACTCACTTCACCTATAAAGACACATGTAGACTGAAAATGAAGGGATGGAGAAGAAATTTTTCCAACAAAAACCAAGAAAGACCAGGTATAGCTGCGCTTATATAAGATGAAATAGACTTCAAGTCAATGGCTATAAAAAGAGACAAAGTCACTATAAAATGATAAATGTGTCCATTTACAAAGAGGATGTAACAATTGTAAATATGAATGTACCCAATACCAAAGTACTCAAACACATAGAGTAAACATTAATAAACCTAAGGGAGAGATAGACTTCAATACAATAATAGTAGGGGTATATCTACTATTATTCAACACCTCAGTCTCAATACTGGACAGATCATCCAAACAGAAAATCAACAAAGGAACATCAGAGTTATACTACACTCTAGACCAAATGGACATAACTGACATTTACAGAACATTTTGTCTGACTGCTACAGAATAGACATTCTTCTCATCAACACATGGCACATTTTCCAGGACAGACCATATGTCAGACCACAAAACAAGTCTGAACAAATTCACAAAAGTAGAAATCATATCAAATGTCTTTTCTGACTGTAATGAAATTAAACCAGAAATCAAGAGCAAAAGAAACTTGGAAACTACACAAATACATGAAAATTAAACAACATGGTCCTGAATGATAAATAGGTCAATGAAGAAATAAAGAAGAAAATTTAAAATTTTTTGAAACAAATGAAAATGGAAACACAACGTCCCAAAATCTATGTGATATAGCAACAGCAGTACTAAGCAGGAAGTTTACAGCAATAAAAAAGAAAGAAAGAAAGAAAGAAAAAAGCAGGATGATTTCAAGTAAACAACCTAATGATGCACTTCAAGAAACTAGAAAAGTGAGAATAAACCAAACCCAAAATTAATAGAAGAAAAGAAATAATAAAGATCCAAGCAGAAATAAATAAAATTGAGACAAAAAATACCAAAAGATTTTATGCTTTTTAGAAAAGATAAAATCTTTTTGAAAAGAAAAACATTTAGCTAGACTAAGAAAAAAGAAGACACAAATAAACAAAATCAGAAATGAAAAGGCAAAGCAACTGATACTACAGAAATACAAGGGATCATTGGAGACTAAATGAACAAATATAAGTTTAAAAATTGGAAAACCTGGAAGAAATGAATAAATTTCTGGACACATACAACCTACCAAGATTAAACCTGAACAGACCAATAATGAATAATAAGAAGATCAAAACAAGAGTAAAATGTCTCTCATCAAAGAAAGCCCAGGACCTGATGGCTCACCACTGAATTCTACCAAATGTTTGATGAAGAGCTAATACCAATTCTACTCAAACCATTCCAAAAAAAACTGAAGAGGATGGAATACTTCCAAACTCATTCTACAAGGCTAACATTATTCTGATGATAAAACTGGACAAGGATACAACAAAAAAGAAAACAACAGGCCAAAACATCTGATGAACAGAGTTGAAAAGTCCTCAACAAATATTAGCAAACTGAATTCAACAACTCATTAAAAAGATTATTTACCATGCTCAAGGGAATTCATCCCAGGGATGCAGGTATGGTTCAACATATGCAAATAAATAAATGTGATACATCATCTTAATAGAATAAAGGACACAAGCCACACAATTATTTCAACAGATGCTGAGAAAGCAATTGACAAAATTCAACATTGCTTTATGACAAAAACTCTCAACAAACTGAATATAGAAGGAACATGCCTCCAAATAATAAAGGCTAGCCCACAGCTAACATCATAGGGAACAGGGAAAAATTGAAAGCCTTCCCTCTAAGATCTGGAACAAGACAATGATGCACACTTCTACTACTTTTACTCAACATAGTATTGGAAGTCCTAGGCAGATCAGGTAGGCAAGAGAAAGAAATAAAGGGCATCCAAATTGGAAAGGAAGAAGTCAACTTATCCTTGTTCACAGAAGACATGATATTATATTTAGTAGAATCCTAAAGATTCCACCAAAAAACTGTTAGAACTGATAAATCAAGTAAAGTTACAAGATAAAAATTAGTAGCATTTATGTATGTCAACAGTAAACAATCTGAAAAAGAAATCATGAAAGCAATTCCATTTACAGTAGCAAGAAAAAAAAATTAAATACCTAGAAATAAATTTAACAAAGAAATGAAAGATCTTTACAAGGAAAACTAAAAAACACTGATGAAAGAAATTCATTATTGAGGATGAAAAACATGAAATATATCCCATGCTCATGGATTGAAAGAGTTAATTGTTAAAATGTCAATACTACCCAAAGTGATCTACAAACTCAATGCAATCACTACCAAAATACCAATGACATTCTTCACAGAAATAGAAAAAAAAATTACTAGCATATGTGTAGAACCACAAAAGACTCTAAATAACCAAAGCAATCCTAAGCGAAAGGAACAAAGCTGGAAGCATCACCTACCTGACTTCCAAATATACTACAAAACCATAGTAACCTAAATAGCATGGTACTGGCATGAAAACAGACACATAAGACTGATGGAACAAAATAGAGAACCCAGAAATAAATATACACATTTATGGCCAACTCATTTTTCACAAAGGCATCAAGAATATGCATTGAGGCAAGGACAGTCTCTCCAATAAATGGTGCTAGGAAAACTAGATATGCAGAAGAATGAATCTAGATGCCTACCTCTCACCACATGCAAAAATCAGTTCAAAATGGATTAAAGACTTAAATCTAAGATCCGAAACTATGAAACTACAAGAAGAAAACATTGGGGAAATGCTTTAGGACAATTTGGGCAAAGATTTTTTTGGATAAGACCTTAAAAACACAGGCAACAAAAGCAAAAATAGACAAATGAGATTCCATCAGGCCAAAAAAGCTTATATACAGCAAAGGGAACAATCAGCAAAGTGAAGAGACAATATACAGAGTAGGAGAAAATATTTGCAAACTGTCCATCCAACGAGGGGTTAATAACCAGAAGACACAAGGAACTCAAACAACTCAACAGCAATAAAAAATAAAATAATCCGATTTTAAAATGGGCAAAAGATGTAAATAAAGATTTCTCAAAAGAAGACATACAAATGGTAAACAGGTATAAGAAAAAAAATGGTCAATATTGCTAGTTGTCAGGGAAATGCAAATCAAAACCACAGTAAAATATCATCTCACCTCAGCTAAAATGATTTTTATCAAAAAGACAAGTAACAGATGCTGGTGAGGTTTCAGAGAAAGGAGAATGTTTGTACACTATTGCTGGGGCTATAAATTAGTACAGCCACTAACGAAAACAGTATAGAAATTCCTCTAAAAACTAAAAATAGAACTACTTTGTAATACACATAATCCCACTGCTAGGTATTTATCCAAAAGAAAGAAAATTGATATATCAAAGAGATACCTGCTCTCTTATGTTTACTAAAGCATTATTCACAATAGTCAAGATATGAAATCAACCAAAATATCTATCAATGGATGAATGAATAAGGAAAATGTGGTACATATACACAATGGAATATTATTCAGCCATAAAAAGAATGAAATCCTGTCATTTTCAGCAGCATGGATGGAATTTGGGAGCACTAATGTTAAGTGAAATTAGCCAGGTGCAAAGGCAAATACTGCATGTTCCCACTCATATGCAGTGAGAGCATGTGAAAGAAAATAAATGGTTTTCATGGAAGTAAAGGGTTGATTGGTGGTTACCAGTGGCTGGGAAGGGTAAGTGGGGTGAAGAGAAAAAAGAGGGGATCGGTTGATGGATGTGAAAATGAAGTTCAATAGAAGGAATAAGGTTTAGTGTTCTATAGTATAGTGGGGCAACTACAGTTAACAATAATTTGTTGTAGAGTTCAAAATTGCTAAAGAGAAATTAGAATGTTCCTAACATAAAGAAGGGTTGAATGTTTAGGGTGATGAATGTCCCCATTGCCCTGGCTCAGTCATTACACATTGTATGTATGTATCAAAATACCACATATATCCCCAAAATATGTATCACCATTATGTATCAATAAAATGTATATACAGTGTGTGTGTGTGTGTGTGTGTGTGTGTGTGTGTGTGTGTCCAAGAGAAACCTAAGTGTAGATCACCACTAATTTTATTGTGGTATCCTGAAAGAGATCCAAGGACATTAGGTAAAAACTAAGAAAATCTGAATAAAGTATGAA